AGAGAGAGAGAGAGAGAGAGAGAGAGAGAGAGAGAGAGAGAGAGAGATGACTAGAGCAGGAGTTCCTTTTGTTCGAGGAGAAAAAGGTTAAATTTGTGTCTTTCACTTATTTATAGAGATCATAAAACTCAAGATTCACATCATGATAAGGTTATAATCTACCTTCAGCCAGTACTCATGTTCACTGAGCAGAGCCTGAAGGCATCATGATGTAACTGAAGTGAACCTCCGTTGGTTATCGGTGCTGCTAACCTTACTAGCTCTCCTCTGATTGGTTGCTTACAATGAAACATGGTCAGAGACCAGAAACGCATGTTCTACATCAGTAAAACTTTATTAACACTGTGATGGTTAACGTTAAATGGTGTCATTAATCTGAGGTTGTTTGGTCAACACAACCATGTTGAGGCAACATGGTTGTGTTGACCAAACAAAACACAACATGTGTTGTTGCTGAAATGCTTTGTGGGTATTTGAGGGCTCTGCTCTTCTTGTAGGATCGTTGTTGGTGCAGAACGGTGGATCCAAACCCTGATGTTGAAATGTTTCAGGCTCATTAATCTTCATCCTCGTCATCATTGCGACAGTAGAGATGCAGGCGGAGGGATTGCGTCTTGATGTCGGCTGACGATGGCAGAGGAGATGTTTGTTGTTTGGCTCCAGGAGTCGGGAGGTAAAAAAAATTAAAAATGCTTTTGGAGCAAGACGATCAATAAAAGATGAGGAGAGGGAGGCAGCGCGGAGACGAGATGGTGAGGCAATGAGGAAGATGAAACGGAGGACTTATTACTTCTCAGTGATCTGTGTGTCTGATGGGAGGAGATCTGAGTGGAGGACTCATGTGTTACATGAACACATGCTGCCTGTATAAATGTACCGAATTATTTATTTATTATTCAAATAATAAACGTGTACACCACAAACTTGGTATAAAGAACTTGAACAGGAATTATGAACGTCAGTATTTCTTTCTCCTGCGTCTGGAAACCAAAAAACAACGAGTGAATAAAAGGATCCAGAGAGCCGAGGGGTCCTCAGCGTCTGTGTTGTTCTCGTCACTGCGAGCCTCAACGTTCATGAACCGTGTTGCTCGTTCACTGCAGACCGACGGAGTGCATTTGGTTATCGGATGTGATGTGTGTTTGACAGCTGCAGGTCATCTCAGGTCGGAGCCTCCAGTGTTTGCGTGCCTTCGGTTCCCACGGAGCCTCCAGGCTCCTTCTGCTGCTCGCTGTTCTGCAGAGTTTCAGAAATGTAAAACCTTAAACCAGCTTTCCTCGTTGTCGGGGTTTAAATCTTTACAGACAAGAAGACACATCTGCATGGGATCTGTGAAACCGACAAAACCTCATAAACTAACCTCCACTATGACGAGAGCGACTGTAGTTATCTGTAAACTCATATCTCATATTTATGAACTACTTTATTACCTTTATACAAACCCTGTAGAGACACAAGTCGAGTATTAAATGTGTTATAAAGAAACAAAGGTTGAATATCCTGAAAACTATTTGATTTGGCTGCTAAATATTTACTCACGTGAAGATTTTTAACGTGTTTTTATGTTTAAATGGTTCATTGCCGTTACACATACAAGGAATGTAACTCAGTGATTGGTGCGTGACAATAAACATTGTGCAATAGTGAAAGACATCATTTAAAAATGACAAATGTACAATATAAATACGGTAAACAAACAATGATACGGTAAAACAAGTGTTATTAAAGTGTGTGTGTGTGTGTGTGTGTGTGTGTGTGTGCGCGTGTGTGT